GGACCTATCACTTAGAGATCCATATTCGGAGAGCTGTAATTGAACTCAAGAACCTGATTCACTTTGCAGATACCTCTGCAAAGCCTGGTTATAGATCCACTGGACGTGAAAATCTCTTAGGCATCCAACAATTCCCAAAGTCTCTGATTAGCTCTGCACACATAAAAGCAAACACACTGCGTTCCAGATCTTAAGACAGAAACTATTTTCCATTGAAAAGAGTTCATTGCCAGAGAAAGCTTTCATTCAATTTTCTGTAAATTTTATCTGTTTCAGAAAATGTCCCCCAACTCCACACACATATCAGATTGCTTTGACATTTGACGGATAGGTTGTAGAGTAACGCATTGGATTAGCGTTTTATTAGAGTTCTGCTTCCAGATGCCGAAGCAGTAACATGGAAATTCAACCGCCTGTTTAAAGCCATAAAAGGTTTACTAGTCTAGGTATCCATGTAAATTATGGTCAGTACCTAGAATAGTGCCCAGCATACAGTAACAGCTAAAAAATATTTGGTAAACAAATGATGTTGAATGAATGCATTTGGAGATAAAATTTGCAACAAAGATATTAAGTTGTAGCTTCAACATTTTTTCAGATTCTACCTTGTTTTTTTTTTTTTTCTTTTCAATCCCTTTTTCTCCCTTTCTTTCTTTTGCTTCTTGTTTTTCACCCTATCCCCACACTACTGGAAAAGAAATAGAAGTGTTATGTGTTACTGCACTGTTTCATCTTAATAATAAATAGAGTAATGGAGAATAAGTTTCTCTACAAAAAACAAAATGTCTAGTATGCTTTAAAATATAGCAGCCTTTTCACCCTGCAGTCCAGAAAGTTCGGTAGTCAATTTATAAATTTATATTACAGATATATCCTGCAGGCCATCATCACCTCTAGAGATGCAGCTCATGCTGACTTGACAATACCAGACATTAATCTACCAATAAGAATTTCATAAAGAAAATGGAAAGTGCTCTTCTATTTTAATGGAGAATAAAGACTCATCAACACAACTGCCATTAGCACAAATAGGAACAAGCAATGTGTTATGTGTGGGCCACATAACATTACCTTGTATGTTTCTTCTTTTCCATTGTATAGTTAGATCTGAAAATGCTCGATTTATATTGAGAACTAGAGGTGGTTTATACTCACATATGGAATTAAGAAGAATAGGAAAGTTGGAGAGGCAGCAAAATATTGTTGGTGTTGTATTTTTATCCTCTTAATTTACCTCAGAAATCATTAAACTTCGGTGCCTAGATGAAGTTAAATTTTTCTTCAATCAATTTGGGCAAGATAAGGAACAAGATGATTCTGTCTGATTTTGAACTTCAGGGACAATGCTTCATAATTGGTTATGACGGAGACCTAACATGCTTTCTTGATTAGAGTTCATCGAGGAAGGCAATATATTGTTTGAACTCATGTTATGACAAAAGGAAGTCAGTGCTTGTGGCATTCAGTTTGAAGATGGCTATGCCAGAGGATAAAGATCAATCAACAAATTGGCGCTTGAATATTAGTAAAGAATAATTACTTTTTGTGAAAAAAAGAGCCTAAGTACTTATCCTCCACTTATTTTAGCCATACAAAATATGCCTATGAATCCCAAAGGCAATAAATATCATCTAATATAGTGACCTGGAAATTAATTAGCTCAAATAAACAAATTTTTGTTTAATCATCATAATGTAGTTTACTAGAGAACTTTAAGAAACCTTGGAAATAAATTCCAGATCGGTAATTAACAATCTGCATAATTTTGGCTAAATTAAGAACAGTTATAACTACCTTGCTGGATATTATGGTAATTAAATAAGAAACATGACCCATACTGGCAACACATAATTATCATATGTGGGATAATGTATAAATAATAGCAGGTTCTATCTAGTTAAGTATATTAGATACAGCACAGAATAAAACTTCAAAGGGGGTGGGGGGGACGTGGAATTTCTCATCAGTCCTAACCTAAATCTAAATACTTTTTCTAGCTTCTAAAACCAACTGACCAAAACATAATTTACTTAAATTCAAGTCAATAAGCATTTACAGAGAGCCTGGCCATATATTGACATAAAGGCAGCCTTCAAAGAGCTCAAAGTCTAGAGGAATGTTCAGGAATGCAAATAAAACAGTGAAAAATTAGCATGATATTGATGTAAAAATAATAGTGACTAGAACAGAGTTAAAAAATATCTAGATATAATCACACCCATATATGGATACTTGATTTATGAAAAAAAAAAAAGTACTGAAATGTAATGTAGTTGGAAGACGAGAGTTTTTTTAGGAGATAATGGTTGTTCAACTGGAATTTTAGACCCTACTACACAACACACACAAGTATCAATTTTACATCAATAGTATATTTAAATGTTGAAGGTAAAACAAAAAAAAAAGTTTCTAAATTTAACATATAGTATTTTAATTAATTTTGAGTAAACAAAGATTTCTTGAAAAGTACAAAAAAAGTACTAACCATAAATAAAAGTTTGATAAATTACAACAGCTTAAATTAAGGACCTTCTATTAATCTAAAAACACCATTAAGTGAAAAGACAGGCAGTAATCTGGAGGAAATTATTAAAAATACATACTCCCAACAAAGAGCTAACATATAGATTACATAAGGAACTTTTTCTTACTAAAAACAGATATACCAATTAAAAGCATGAGCAAAAAACACAAATGGTTATTTCACGCGCACACAAAAATGTTCTCAATCTAATGAGTCATCAGGGAAATTCAAAACAAAACCAACATTTGTTATTCTCCCTAGAATGGCTTAACTTGAAAAGACCGACAATTGCAAATATTGATGAGGATGTAGAGCAATTCTCATGCTCTGATAGCAGAAATCAATATTGGTATCACTGTAGGGCATAACTTTGTCATGGTGTAGCATAAAGCTGAACAAGCACATCCCACATAATTTATCAATTCTACTCCTAAATCTGTTACCCAATACAAATATCTTTATATGTATATCAAAAGGTACACAGAAGAATAAAAGAGTTTGCTATACATCATTTCTTATAAGTCCAAACTGGAAACAACTCATATTGATCATTAACAGTAGAATAAACACATTTTGCTGTCATAGTACCTTAAATATTATACATCAAGGAAAATAAACAGACTACTGTTATGCATAACAGAATCGAACAGTCTCACAAACACAAGTCTACAGTCTTGCACTACTTGACAGGGGTATTTTCTGGAAAATGCATCATTAGGTGATTTTCTGTCATTGTGTGAACATCACAGAGGGTACTTAGACAAACCTAAATGGCATAGCAATTGCACACCGAGGCTATATGGTAGAGGCTATTGCTCCTAGGCTACAAGCCTATGCAGCATGTTACTGTATGAAACAACACGAGATTAAATCAAGCACAAGAGAAAATGATGCAATCAAGTAAACACTAGGTTGCTGCTGGCCTGGCATAACGTGGCATACTGTTTTACAGGAAATTGTTTCGTTGTTGTTGTTGTTGTTGTTTTTAAGCAAAAGAGCACACTTTACAATAATAATTATGATTTCTGCACAAATTAGTATGTATGTTACATTGCAACAGAAGTCTCATTTAAAATTATTTTAAAACAAACAGTCCAATGAGAGCAATAATATAAATATGTCTGAGATAAAAGATAGGCTAAGTCCATGTGATTTACTCATTAGGGTATGAAAAAAGAAGAGGACCTGAGAAAGTCTTCAAAAAACAAAAGGTAGAGTTATAGCAAACTCAAAATATCTGGAAAAGCCAGACAGATAAGGCAAAGGAATGAACTAGAATGGATTTTCAAACAGAGCATGAATATGATGGTAAGAGGAACTAGCACTTAGCTCCAGTGTCAGGAAGGCCATAAGAAGGAATGGCTTCTTACAACCAGGGCATATGTCTTCTCTAAAGGGAACAGATGCTAGCTAGCTCCTTGGAGAGTTGTTTTTCTTGCATGCTGACATAGTTTCTAGATATTTCAGTTCCTCAAAAACATGAATACTCTTGCCTTTAGTTTAGTTTTACTTTAGCTTGTGAAATATATCTCTCTATACATTTTATATTGAGTGAGGGAAAATGTATCTTTAATTCAGATACGTTACATAATATACGATTTTTTAAAATGAGTGTTTTTAAAAGTGAGTATGATTTTTTCAAATTAGATGAGAAGTGCATCTTGGTCTCGATGATGAGATATGCAAAAGGGTGGGGGCTTAAAAAAAGCAACATGTTTGAGGACCTTCATGTAAGTCAGCGTGTAAGCAAGAGCTTAGAATTTGCAAAATTGAGAAGGGGATGAGGCCAGAGAAGTGGGAGAGAGGAAGACAATGAGGGGACCCGATGTCATTGCAAGGAGTTTGCATTATTATTTTATGAAAGTAGATCACAGGAAGCTACCAAAGGCTTAAATAGGAGTAAAATATGATTCGGTTTGCAATTGGAAAGGGCATCCTGGTGGGCGTTCACTGGAAGAGAGTGATAAGGAGATGATTCCTAATCTTGCCTTTTCAAAATGACTCCCACCAAGGGCTTTTGGATCTCTTAAGTGCACAGGCTCAGAGATTTAGAAAGCAGCTTGAGGAATAAACCATCAAGCCATTCCCCTACTGTCAGATAAGAACATGTGGTTGGGTATCCCATGTCCTGTTCACTATCTTACAAGAAGCTGAGATTGGACATTTCTGGTTTTCAATAAAGTAATAAAAGACAAACTGAAGAATCAGATTCTTAATTATGACTTCATCTCATTTATTACAACACGAACCAAATAAATTCTTTCCACACCCGAGTGACAACAAATAGTATTGTAAACCAAATAATTTTATGTCAAGAAGAGATGAAAAAAAGAAAAATGTGATAGGAGCAGCTCGCATTAGATCAGGTACAATGAACACAGGAAGAAGCAGTCACTACCAGGAAAGAAGCAAAAGTCCTTAAATGTGGAATTTTTGTCCTGGATCCTCAGCACGATTAGCAGCTGGAACAAGGAAACTACTGGCCTCCCAATGCAAAGCAAGATGGACGACAAGGGCTGAACACATGGGTCAGAGGTTGGCATCCACTGAAAAGAGGATGCAGAGGTCTGAGGCTGCTGGACACAACACTAAGTGATTGAGAACCACAGGGCTTCCAACCTACAGGGCGGCAACCATAAGTGAAGAGGCTCAGGGGTCGACAGCTGCTGGACACATAGGATACTGGGAGGCAGGAACTGGAGATGTAAGAAGCAGCAGGAAGAAAGCTGGCTCCTGGGCAGAGTCTGGGCCCACAGTGAGCAGAGGAAGGGCAGCAAGAAGTTTCATAGTTGCTGGGCTCACAGTTGGGTGGCTGGCAGCTGGTTGGTTCACTGCAGGTCTCTTGGCAATTGTCCATGAGCCAGGTATGGTCTTGACAGCTGCTGGGCAAGCAGAGGACGCCTCCACGGCTCACATTTGTAGAGCAGAGGGCAAAGGAAGAGGTGAGAGGAATATAACAAGGATTTCTGAGGAATCCCAAACTCTGGTTTCCAGAGCAGGAGTTGGAGCAAGACATGGTGAGGTTTACTGAGCAGGCTGTGGGTGATTGGCAAGAAACGAGAGTCTCAAGTTTCTTTGTGCTCCTCTTTTGACTTGATTCCTTATATATCCCTAGAAGGCAGTGATTCTGTATACAGACTCTCTTCCTTGTTGTGTGAGGCTGCATCAGCACTCTTTATTATGGTCCAGAAATAGTGCTCCCACCTCCCATAAAACTGAATGTTCCTCGCTATGCCTCCTGTTGATTACATATATGTGAAACACAGTCTCGCCCTCTCAAATTATCCAACCAAAACAGCCGCTTTTGGAGGTCATTCATTGCTTCCAGTTATAAGCCCCATTGCATAAACATTCATAGAATTATGCTCTTGGAATTGTCTTTAAAAGTTGTAGCAAACTTCTTTGAAATACTAGCAAATTATTTTCCTTTGGGGAGAAATTCTAGTTTTTTTGGAAAATTACCAAAGTAAGAACTTAAAAGCAAGTATGTTGGAAAAGAATGAGAAAAAACTTATTGCCAGTGTGGTTTAGGACAGAGAGAGTTTAAAAAGTAGTATAAAATGGAAATTTTCAATGTGTTTAAACATATGCTTTGCTTTATTTTAGAATTTTGGTAGAACTTGACTTCCCATCAAAATATCTTTAGTATGAAAGGTCATGCTCCTCTAATTTGTTTCAATAAATAAACAAACCAAGTCAAGCTGAAAGCTGGTTTATGTTTAAAGTATTTTTAATATAGATAAATATGTTGAGGTTAAATGGATCCTACAATAAACAAAAACAAATCAACGGGACCCCATCAGGAAAGTTGAACAACATAACATTTTTCATAGTTATTATAGAAATATGTATTCATGGTTACTCATGTTCCAACTGAAAACTAATGTTCTTGGTAAAAAAAAAATAGACATAATAATTAAGATATGGACATGAATGTCATTTTACTTTTTACATTGGTTCTGGTATCAATTTCCAAAGAGGAGATTCTAAACTACTTTACACGGACGATAGCAGATATCAGAATAAATGTAGAGGTTTTCTAAGTATGAGCACTTTAAAGGATATCTGGGTATATATTTTCTGGTAAACTTGGTTTAAAAAAATGTATGATTGTGTTTTTGCTTCAACCATCCCAATGTCTTTATTATATACCCATATATGTAGTGGCTTCAGTGACTATGTTAATAGGAATTTTAATTATCTGTTGGATCAAATTTCTAATTTCCTTTAGCTAAAATTCAATGTAAACCATTTTCTTATATTTTAATGCTCAATGGATGCACTCACACTTACTGAGTCTCCCTCTGTCCAAGAGAAATAGAATCTCTGAAATACAAGATTGGTTTCTCTGTGAGCCAATGTAGGACTATTTTACTACCAGAAATAGGAAAATGAAAAAAAAAAAAAAGAATGGTCCTATACTAACACGTTGAAATTATCTCAGTATTTTAGATCACAAGCACTACCCTTTGATGATTTGTACATCACGTGTTTGAGGAATCCCCCCAAGTCCGCCAGCTTTCATCACCTGATACCTTTGTACACATTGCAAGAGCCTTCTTGTGAAATCCTGGGTGCTGCAGCTGAATGGCGTTAGTAATAGGCACAGGCATATTTAACTGAATGCTTATCAAATTTACATGTTGATGCTCTTTATGCCTGCTCTTCTCTCATATAATCAAGAGGCAACACCTGTATCATTAACACAGCAATGTAGTTGTGTGTATGTACTGTTTATGTTGTATGCATAAAACAATGTTTTTTCATGAAGAGGAGGGGTATGGAATAAGAGGAAACTAGCATTTATTTAGTGTCTATTCTGGGCAACACCTTGTAGTGTGGGTTACCCACATGTGTAACATCACTTTATCCTCATGATTCTCTATAGTAAATTTTACTATTCATATGAGAAAACTTGAAATGGAGAAAATTACAATAATTGACATGAAGAAAAACATTTGAACAAAGGACATTCAAACATTTGAATATTTGTTTGGGGGTCCTTGACCCTCAAAAGTTTTTTTCTCCCATTATCCAAGATGGCAGTATATCTAGATAGATAGATAGATAGATAGATAGATAGATAGATAGATAGATAGATAGATAGATAGATAATAGATAGATAGATAGATAATGTAGTGACACCATCATCTACTATGTGACCCTGGACAATTTCATAACTTTTCTGATTCCTGGTCACTATCAGTATTATTTTATGGAATAATGGGAATATTAATAATATCTACTTTTCATTTCATTTAAAAATATACTGAGATGGAAGAAAAAGTTTAAAACTGCAAGATACCATACTAGCATGATTTATTTTCTTGCTTTGACATCATTAACCCATTTCTTTACACCATGAGCCTCATTTTTTTTCTATTGTAGGTAGATAACACTGCAAACATATCCATAGAATTTTTCAGAAAATAAAGTGCCCCGAATGTAAATTGTACCTTAATATAAAAAGTTATTGAACTGATGTCATTTGATAGTGACATCAGTTCACTAAAAGCGATGAGCTTAAATGGACATAACATCAGGTCCCTCATCACCAGACTTATTTAAACTACAGATTTCAGGCTCTACTTCTGGTGCAAGAGCCCAAGGATAGTCTTAGGAATTGTGAAGCCTGTGTGCTCCTCCAGGTTCATCCACTTTGTTGCTCTTTCTTCAGTGAACCAGAGGTCCTCATCTCTCCTACTCTAGGAACAACTCTGAATTTCCCTCTCTCAGACACACAGAATCCTCAGAGCATTGCAACAATAAAGGTATGCCAATAAATGACATAGCTTGCATTCATTCATTCAACAAATGTTTACTGAGCATCTTGTATATGCAAACATGATGATAGATGTATGCAAGGATACCAAGATACTACCAATTTCTGCTTCCAGACACATCCAAACTTGTAGATATGATAAGATAATACACAATCTATGTCAGTGTCCACTATAAAGCTTTATAAATGGCTTACCGAGAACAGTAAACATTGCTTATTGGCTTTACCTGAACATTGGCATTTGGCTTTAATTTTGAAAACCAGAAGAAAATGGCAAGGGAGTTGGGGAAGGGAAAGGCACCTTGAGTTGTGGCAAAAGGTGTAAAGGCAGAAAAAATGAAAACACGGTGCTTTCCATGGAGGATTCTTAGAGGTAACTTATAGTAATTAAACTTAGATTCACATGCTGAATCTAACTCGATCAAGGCAGTAAAGATTTTGTTCTACAAGAATGGTGATCTGGTCACTGATTTAAAGAAGAGAGTGCTGTGGTTAATTTGCAACATAGATAATAAATCTATTTTTAATGTTTTTCTCACTTGATCTACTCATATTACATTTTTTCATACATTTCCTCCATCTGTTCTCTCATTCACTACCATCAGCTAAGTTGAGTTTTCTCCTTTGGTGCCATCTCAACTCCTATTGCTAATATCTTCTCTTTAGCTTAAATATTGTATTTAGATTAATACTCCTATAATTAATTTCATCACGTGGATCTCTAACTCAATGACTCCTCTTTGTCCACGGAGAGCCGTTTAAACACTTGATTAGTCCTCCTCTGCTTCCCAATAGAGATTCTCTTCTTTCTTACTGGGTTGTCTGTTCATGTCTCCAATTAGTCCATATTGATCCTCATCTTCTCATTCATCTTCCCCTTTTCTCCTTTGGAATTATTAACCCCTAAATTAGCCCCTCCTTAAAAATACCTCCTTACCAACCTATATATCTCCAGCCTTAAATCTGTATAATTATTATTATTTAATTCACACGCAAATTCCTTTGTATTACAAACAAAACAATTTGTATATGTCATATTATATTATATTATGTTATTATATTATATTATAGAAACTATAATATTAGACTATGTTATAGAACCCTTATTAGTTATTATTTACTGAGTCCTTATTATATCCCCAACATAGCTCTAAATGTTTTATATACATTAAGAGATTTAATCTTCACTACATCCCTATTTGAATAGGTGTGATCATTATTCTCAGCACATGTGAGAAAACTTAGTCAATTCTTAATAAATATTTGCTGACTAACATCACAGCTTTTACAAAATATAACTTAGGTTTTCTTTATCAAATAAAAATTGACCTTTACTTAGTCAAGTCGATAATCTCTTTTATATACTTTTCTCACCATCTATCCTTTTTCATAAGGGAAAGCCAACTTTCGACGAATAAACACACACACACACACACACACACACACACACACACACACACACAAGAAGATAGAAAGAGGCTAAGAAGGACTGAAAATACTTTGTCAAGTTTTTCTTCTGCCCATTCTAATATCGCTGATTACTATTTACCTTAGCTTGGCTTAAAGAAGACAACTCATTATCTAGAGTCAGTCCATTGCAACCTTCAACATAACGAAGCATCTTAAATTTAGCACACCCTGCTAGATGTCCTGAGTAAAATCATTAAATGATCATCCATTGGAAGAATTAAATAATTCCTTGATCATCAATGTAGAGTTTGGAGTGACTGATGAGTATATCACACTGTAATTTACTTTCAACTTTAATTTTACTAAACTATAGCATTCTTACATATGTTTATACATATGGTTTGTACATGATTTGTATAAAATTTGCTCCACTCATTCCAATTTCATTCATACAAAATAACTTTCCCCAGATGATCTTAGAAAAACTGTTTTATATTAATTAACATATCCTTTCTTCCTTGTATTAAAAACAGTATAGGTGGAGCTATCCCTCCTACTATTCATAGTTAAGCCCTTAAATTCTGTCCTTTTCACATTTACAAGGTTTTTTTCAATTTCCTCTCTTTGTTTATATATTTTAACAGCTTTATTGAGATGAAATTGACATATAATAAACTGAACATATTTAAAGAGCAAAATTTGCTGTTTTTATATTTGTATATACCAAAAAATCAAGGATTTAATTATACTCATTATCCACTAGATCTCCTCATGCCCCTGTGTAGTCCTTCCTTTCCACTCCTTCCCACCTCACCCCTCCTTAC